GAGGCTTTTCCACACCTCACACTGATTCTGAAGAAAGTCCTTATAATTTAATCTTTCAGGAAGGTGAGATCTTGACAAGGTCCTAGCATTTTGACTGCTAATTAAAACCTGTCAATTAGAGCCAGTGAACAAATTACACTCTTGGTTATGCTGGTATGGTCAAGCAGTCACTCAGGTGTTGCTGTATTTCTTACAGCTGGAGAACGCAGTAGTTTTCAATCTAAACTCAATTTAAGAGGAAAAGCGAAACAGAAAAAACCTGTGACTTCCATGAACAAACCTGTGACTTCCATGACAATATAATATGAATTTTCTGTAACATAGTATAAAATTCTGCTTCATAAATGGCCTTTGCCCCTGCAAAAATGGATTTGTGAGGATTTATAGGATGGTACCAAAGCAATGACTACAAATATGTAACCGCATACACTGTGCTTACACTGTTGTAATATAAACCTCACAGACATGTTTGAACAGTGTTCTTTTTTTCTGCACTCTTATAAGAAAGTTCAAAGGTTTTACTGGCTTGGCAGTGTGCTACTTTGATGCCAAGTTCTCCTTCTTCCAATTTAAATACACAGCCCATGAATAGTCAGGTCTGGTGGCACGAGGCCACTCTTAATAGATTAAGTGGTACTAACCTGAAAAATAATACAAAATCCTCTCAACGCTTTCCCTTGTGTTCACTGTTTTGTTTTTGTTGTGGATTTGTTTTTTCTCAGTTTTTATTTCATGTTAAATATGTCCCAGGCTTGTGACAACCAGAATACAACATATAGTGAATATCATAGCAGTTCATCAGGTCCATTACCCTTTCTTATCTGAAAACTAGCTCTAAATTCTGTTTAGATGATGAGGAAAATGCTGTTGATGGTTTCTCGTAGTTGCCATGTGTGTGACTGCTTGTGGCATCACAGGTATTTCAAGAGTGAGATGAACAGAAATAAACACAAAAGGATGAGTGCACATGAGTAGGTATGGCAAGAAACATTTGAACGCTAATTTTCCCACATTATCTAGTACTGTCTGTCACTGTTCCATATTTGCATTAGTTGCTTTTTTCATTGTCCAAGCAGTCTACAGTATCCTCCAACAAATATACTTAATGCTGAAATATACGATTTAAGAAGAGGAGCAATGTATGAAATATGAGGCAGAAAAAAATAACAATTGTTAAAATAAAAGTGCTGCAATAGTACTGTTGTTAGCTTCCCTTAAAAAATAAAATCAGTTTTACAAAGGTATAGGATGGCTGTACTGTGCTCATTTTAACTGCTGACCGAAGTGAAATAGCATGGGGAATAAATCTGGTTGTAATTCTCCAGCAGCAAGCAACATCTCTTAATTAAAAACCAAACATCTAATTTAATAGAAGATATAAATTATCCCATGTTGTGTGGTAAGGGTAAATCAAAGGTAACTTAATGGAATCAAGAGAGTGATACTGGAGTTAAACTTTTTGGAGATTAGATTTTGCCAGATCAGATTCTTCCAAAATTTCTAATTATCATCATATTTTTATGATCCATGAGTTCAAATTAAACTGAGTTGGGTATAACATCTCCTTTAGTCTCTATGCAAAGAAAGAAAAGGTTATATGGCATTTCCTAGATTTCATCGCTTTGGGTGTTGTTGTTTTTTTTATTGAGGAGACTATGATTTCCTTTCTACCTTCACTTCAATAAAAGGTTTTTTGTGTGTGTGCTTGGCTGATCTGGAGACATGATGCAAAAATGCTGCCATCTCAACAAGGCATTTTAATTCCAGGATACTGCTTACGGATGTAGATTTACCAGAGGAGACTTCTTGAAATCAAATGCTATGACTCTAAAACCAGTACACAGAGCTATGTTTGCCTTTACTGGTGACAAATGGGTAGCATGAGTCAGGACTTGAAAGCAATTTTACTTTTTCTCAAAATTAAAGTACTATGCAAAGACCCCACCTTTTTTCTCTCAAGAGACAATATATCTGGGCTGAAGAAAAGGATATGCAAGTGAACACCTTACCTAGTTTTTACTTAGGAGGGAAGGTGTCATGGTTTAACACTGGGCAGGCAGTCAAACAAATGACAGATGCTCTCTATTAACCCCTCTCCCTTCCCCTGTAGGAAAAATAGAGAGAATAAGGGAGAGACTTACAGGTTGGAAACTAAACCACACAGCTTTAATGAAACAGTAGTTATGAGAAGAAAAATAATGAAATACATGCAAATATCTACAAAATCACTATCATTGCCCCCCCACCCCCAATAATGCTCACATCATCACCGAGGCTGCAGGGCAGACCCTGAAAGAGTCCTGTAACTTGAGTCCTGGAGTCAGTGGCAGATGGGCGCTGGGTGCAGGAACACAGGCATTCTGGAACATATGGATCAGGATCAATGGCAGACTAATGGACGAAATCCTCCCAGGATGCCTGCCATGGACAAAGAGAGCTTGACCCTCATGATCCCTCGGATTAATACAGAGTATGACAAATATGTGATAGAATACCTTGTTTGGTCAATTTTAGTCATCTGTCTGATTCACTCCTCCCCAAAGGACAGCTGCAGGTGTGACTCCTTTACTCTCTTCTGTTTCTGGAGCATGAGATGTTTTTCTGAACCAAGGAGTGGCCTTGGTTCTCTATACCATTCTACAGCAGTAACCATAAACATCAAGTGCTATCAGTCCTAGAAGAAAAAACTGACAGAGAACCAGCTGTATTTCAGGGGTATGGATACATTGCATGTGAAGTGGAAATCCATTAGCATTTTCTAAGCATGTCTTTTGTCTAGGGAAGCCCCAATATGCCTTGTAAGAACCATCCAGCACAGGGAAGCCCAAGTCTTGCTTTTCCCAAGGCAGCTTTTTTAGCACTTGAGCATTCTGTTTATTTTGTGGTTGGCAAGCTCCCTTCAGTAACAAAAAATACCTATTCCACAAAAAACATCAGAAAAAAAAACACATAGAGGTTTTCCTAGAAGCATTACTGGAAATAGCTGAGCATCTTGCTGCTTCTTGGCACAGCAGGTACATAGGGCAGTGCAGGTTCAGCAAAAAAAGAAGACTCATTTCCTTAGCATGACAAGTTTTGCACACAGTGACACCTTGGCACCACTCATTGTCCTCAGCTTTCTGGGCAGGAGGCCAGATGTGGCCAACTGAGGATGTCTTTATGCCCTGCATCCATCATAACCATTTGTTTCAATGCTGTTTAATAATGATATTATAAACTTTTGTACTCTGCTCATGTGGGAGGAGTTGATTAGGTTTCCTAGATGATGATGAGTACAATAAATATATGCCCATGCTATTGCTGTTTGTATTCCAAGCAGTAAATTGCTGATTATTCTATTGCAGGAATGAAGTTAGAAGACTCTGCTATTAGCCAAATGATGATGGCCATCACTTTTTAATCAAAACATAATTTTATGGTTCAAGAGTGAACTAATGGCTGTGGAGCCTGATTTGAGATTGATACATCGATCACAACACAGGTCTCAGAGAGCATCTTGCTTGATATGACAAAAATTGCAGTTCAAAAGTATGGGTAGTGCCTTGTTTTGTATCAGTAGTAATCACCGTTTACTATTTCTAGAGGCAAAGATAAAAACAGTTGTATCTAGATTTGTACAGTGATGGTGATTCTCCTCAATTCTCTTCTTTCTGTAGCCCTCTCTGTATCAAACTGGGAGGAGAGGGCTTCAGCTGCTGATGTTTCAAGCATCTCTAGCTCATCTCTGATATGACCTGGCTGCACAGACTTGGCTCAGGCTGCCAAAAAAGTTGCTCAGACAAAACTATAACCAAGTCTGTGGAGTCTTCAAAATGATAATTTTTTAGACATAGATTGTGAGCATAGATTGTGTGGTTCAACAAAGTGTAAAATCATAAAGGGAAGGAGAGCACGATGACGATTTTTCCAGATGTCACTGCCATCCGTGTGTTGGTATTGATGGAACTGGTGGATGTCAGCAGCTCAGCAGCAGTCAGATCTCTCTTCCAGGTAGCAGTAAAGGCCACCTCTTCCCCTGCTGACCGATCTTCTTCTCACCAGCAAAGTCTCTTTGAGTATCTTATTGGAGTGGAGAACACACTAATGCCTAGCCTAGTAGCTTGTGAAACCCTGGACAGCTTCTGGGTGTGTTGGCCCATAAATGACTGCTTTTTACTTTTAAGTATACTGCTTAGGCATCATCTTTGCACAGTCCTTAGACTACCTTAGGTACCTAAACAAACTGGCACCAGAACACAGCAGTAGCAGAATGAACATTCAAAATTACACCTGTACTTTTTAAAAAGAGATCTGTGCACCTGTAATAAAGAACAAAACATACCATATCTGCCTTGAAGAATATTTAAGTGAACAACCTGTTTTGGGGACAATGTGTTAAAAGACAGTTTTCTAGAGTTTTCTAGAGGTACTAGAAAAGAAAAAGAACCAGGGTGAGCAAGAACAATAGCTTGTTAACAGAAGGAAGGTAAGAACAAGACTACCTGTGTGCAGACCAATACCCCATTTTTATCCCTGGAGGCCGTATGGCATGGGATAAGGAATGACTTTTGAAGTCTTGGTCAAAACAGATGCGCATGTGGACTTCCTTACTGTACTGCAAAATCCTTTGCTTTTGCAGCACTACTTTACTTCTCCTGAATTAAATCAGGCTTTGTTTCAAAATGCTTCTCCTTTCAAGGAGAAAAGGAAAGCTTTTCCTTTCAAGGAAGGCTGGAAGATTCCAAAACCAGTCAGGCCTACTGAAAGGTGCAACTTGCTCTGAGGTCCAAAGCACAGCAAGGAAGCTGCAAAATTCCACCTGGATTGGTGACAGGTGGTACAGGTTCTCAAGTCCAAGGCTATGCACCCAGAGAAACTACAGCAGAACTCAGGGAAACCAGGACCCCTGAACCATGGCATTCATAAGTACAACAGCTTCAGGGACTCATCACAACCTGCAACCATACTTTTTGTTTTACTTCCATGTTTGTTGTGTAAAGTGTGTGTGTGTGAACACCTTATTACAAGTTCATGTTTCAGGAACTGAGAACTGGAAATGACACTTTACCTAAGATATTCTCACCAGGAGACAATTGCTAACTTTTGCTAAATACACCATATTGGCATGTAAATGCAACTAGAGTCTAAGGTTATGAGCACATCTTAGGTAACCAGAAAAGCATGAAAATCCATTTCCTAGCTTGGAGGTCCAGATATTATTAAAGAAATGAGATTAGACTGTTTCATTTCCTTCACTTGAAAATTAGAAAGTTAATCAAAAGCTGAGAAAATTGAAATTTTTTCTTATAATTCAGAGGTGGAATAAGGAGTCAGCAGGTTGATCTATGCCTTTAAATCAATCTTCTTTTTGTTTCTTCCCAACCTTGGATGGTATTTTCTGATTTGGAACAATTTTTAACTGGCTAGCAAGTTGAGTAGTGGTGTGAAAAGGGTTAATTGCCTATAATACAAAATCAATATGGGTATTGAATAGAAGTAGGGGAAAAGATTTTACACTTTAGCAAATGTCAGATGAGTTCAAAGAGAGCTTTTCTGTAAATACCTAGGACAGTTTTTTACTTTGTTTATAGGTGTGTGTGTAGCATAAGTGGCTTAACTGTTCCATGTGATGAATGCAAGAAGTGGTTTCTGCTTTTTCTACTATCTTTAATATTTTTGAAACTTAAAAAAAATTACTTTATATATGTATTTTCAAGCAAGCTGTACTGTTGCTAAGATATGTGGCCTCTTACTAAAATCTATAATTGAAATAGTATTGTATCAGTATCAGCTAATGAGGGCTGTTTGTCTCCCTCAATTCTTGTTGGAGGGTGAGGGCTCCAGGGCACTTGTGCTCCAGAGGACAGTGGGTGGCTGCTGACTTGGCTGGAAATTCAGATTTTACCCTGCGGGACATTCTGACATTCTCTAATGTTTTCATCCTAAATTATGAAACTTTTTTTCCCAGGAGAAAAATCTTTCAGAGAATTTTGATTTGGAAACATCAAAATGATCATGCTAAAATGCTTTCTCCTTCTGAGTTAAGTCCAAATGCTTACTTTTGGTAATGCATGCTGTAATGACTCTAACTCCAAATTCCCATCAATGGCATGGAATTTAAGACTTCAGATGGACCTGTAGAGAGAAATCAAGACTAAAAACTGGTTTGGGTTTGAAGAAGTCTCATAATTTCCCACCATAAACATACTCAAAATGAACATTTTTTTTTTAACCAAACAACATTTTACAATAGAGAACTCTGCTGTAAAAATAAACATTTAAACAGCTCTGTTTGTTGTTTCTTAATTTCAGTCTCATATTGCACAAGTCAGCACTATGAAAGACTCTACAATTTCAGCACACAGGGGTTGGTGTTACCTGCTGTCTTTGCTTGTTATTACATTTTTGTTTTTAATAAAAAAGAAACTCAGAACCTAAATACAACCAAAAATCAAACTGTCTTTAAAATATCAGAGAGATTGCGAACTAATACAGCATATAAGTGATACACTCAAACAGAATCACTCAAGGATAGAATGCTCTGTAGCTTACATCTGCTGTCAAGCTTAATATCTGTATCACACTGCTTTTCTGCTCCCAAGGCTCTCTTCTATCATAACTTTTTTTATGTTGAGGCTGGTTCATCATAAGATGAACAACTACTTTTTGTCACTCTTCATCTTTTCAAAGTAACTGAGATTGTTGTTTAGAGGACTTTTTTTTTGTTTTGTTTTGGTGTTTTGGTGTTTTTGGTTTGGTTTTTTTTGGAAGAGCAAAAGGTACAAATAATTGTCCCAAATACTCAGAGACCTGGGATTTTTTTCTATCCCTTCTGCTCCTGACTGGATTTTCTCCATGCAATCCTGGCAGGGAATTTCTGCTCTTTTTGAAAGGTGAATCAGCCAATTTTCAAAGCTCTGCTGATGTTTATAACATGTATTTTGACTACAGGGAAATGAAATTATACCACAGAAGCACACAAAAGCATAAGGTATTCAGCTTGGAGATAAGGGAGTTGGTGATGAGCATTTCATTAATGCTAATAAGAAGAGTGTAACTTCATTGCCACATGTTGTTTTGAATATGTATGCTTTGGAGCCCAATAACCCTAATTCTAAAATTGATGAGTACAGTACAAGTTTCAGATTTAAATAACAAAAAATATTTAATTGCTTAAATTATTTTTTTACTCCAATTATTTTGGTTTCATTTAAAAGTTTGATAGAATTTGAAAGAGAAAAACACTTTGGAGAGCCAAAGTAATTAAATGAGAGGGGAACATAGTTCAGGTTTTTCTTTGGTGTTGAAGTGCAGGAAATCTTAACAACACTGGCAGTGTGTAAATAGTAACAAAGGTAAACTCTTGGTAGCTGGAATTTCTCATGAGAAAAGAGCATAAGATCAGAACCAGCAGTACAATCTACATTTCACAGATTGCTATTTTTATTTTTAATTATTGTAAGTATTATTTAAGTTTCTGAAGTTCTACGGTGACCTTACAGCGACTGATGATGGCAGGGAGGTACGTCCCAGGGGCAAGGTTTGCATCTGGCAGTGCTGGCCCTGCCACCAGGGAAGCGCGCTGCAACACCGCCTCTGCCTGGAAGGGACAAGGACAGTGCTTGGTATAGGTGTGGGTAGAACACAGAGGGGACAAGAAAGGGAAGAACTGTGCCATGTAGGAAAGCTTTTCTGTGACATTAAATTTTAAAATATGTGAGTAGTGGTACTTCAAAGGGCATTAACCTCCCTCTTAAGTTCAGATTCCTCTCTTGGGTGCAGTAGGGGGTCAAAGGCTTTACCTGTTGAGTTGGAAACACAAAGTAGATAATATGAAGCCATTCATGCATCTGGTAATGAAAAGTATTTTTTTTCCTATTTTAAACTAGGAAATCAATTACAAAACTTTATTAATTGATTTATTATCAAAGGGCCCTTATAGTAATAAAATACGTAGCAATTTTTAATTTTGTTAAAATATAATTAAAACAAGCAGAAAGTATCTGCCAAAATTCAGGTACCATACACTCGAGACAACTTCCAGTCAA